AAAAAAAAAAGGACAATTGTATCTATATGAACACGTTCAACCTTTTTTCCTTTATTCTCTGAAACAATACAGTATAACAACTATTTAAATAGCGTGTACATTGCATTAGGTATTATAAGGAATCTAGAGATGATTTAAAGTATATGGGAGGACGTACCTAGGATATATGCAAATACACCATTTAAGGGGCTTGAGTATCTGGATTTTGGTATTCTTGGTCCTGGAACCAATTCCTTACAAATATCAAGGGACAACTATAATTTTAACAATAAATAATGTACAAATACCTACTACATGATTCCATTTGATCCTTATGAGCTCTGTCCATGCTCCCCTTGTGTAAATATGCCATCCCCATGAGGTAGGTATCTCCATTATGCTGTTTTACGATGGGAAGATAAAGGCTGTCATACACCCCTCCTCTGCCTCCGGTCAGGCTGTACCAGGCTCTGGTGCTCTTCCCTGGAGACTTCTTGTCACCTCTGTGAGAGGGACATGTTCATTCCACATACATTAGTCAGGGGTCACCTTGTGGTTGGCCTTGAGCCAGGCTTTGAGAAAACAGTTGACTGAGGCACTGTGCATGCCCTTAGGGAGCCTGCAGTCAGGAGGAGGTAGGCTGCCCTGGGTCCACAGACCAATAGAGATGATTGCACTTGCAGCATACACACTGAGGCTGCAGTGTTGAGGGTCTGTCCTGGGTGGGCCATGCTGATGTTCGGTCATCATCCAATGCCTGACAGTCCCACTATCCTGTGGGGGTCCAGGAAGATCATTGCTGGGATGAGCAGGCTTACCAAATGCCTGGCGGGCTGAGACAGGCTGTCCCGAGAGCCCACAGTGGGAGTACCTGGTAGGGGTCTTGCAAGGTGAGGTGTTGGCTGAAGAGCTAATGACATCTTTTTCTCTTATCTCCTGAAGGATAATTATCCGCTTTTCCCCGTTGGAGCCCTGGCAGATTGGCAAGAAAGGGACTGTCATGACTTTTTTATGATTGGCATAGAGGAATCCTGGGCATCTGTGAGCTG